CCGTAACATGGCTAATGGATGCATCTGGGAGCCAAGGTATAGTAGCTGTCTATTAGAATTACCTCCCATCTGGGATCCTTATGCAAACTTCCTTTTGTAATGTTTTGCCGTGAAATAGTCTCTTTAAATTTGTGAGCTGAATTTAAGGGCCATCAGTAGGTAGCTGAGTTGACTTCCTCTTGAAATGTTGAATCCGAATGAAAATCTGTAGTATCATTCCCTAAAGGCATATAATTTTCATTAGGTGGGGGGGTGTACGGAACATTTTCGAGAAAGGGGCCCTTCTGGTAGATGGCAAATAAGGATCAAGTTGTTTCTAGAGTTGATTGAATAGATTTGTTTCAACTGCTAGCAGAAAAAAATAATGTTTTTAAGCCGAGGCTCTACATTAAATCCTTTAACATCTTAAAGGAATGCAGGGCATGTGTGTCTGAAACTTTTCCTCTTTAATGGATGGTTTAGGAGAATATATTTGTCTATACCCTGGTAATTTCTATAACACTGTCAGAATTAAAAGCAACCACAAATCCACTTTGTGTAAACTAGCAGCCAAATTAATTTACCTCCTCCCTTGGAAAATGCAAGCAAAATGGAAAGAACTTTTGGCAACAGAATGTCCAGATAAATATGCCAGATTCCTTACAAACAAAATAATTAAAATAGTCACAGTACAGTACTTGGGCTATTAAAAATGTGTTATTAAATATAACGGTAACTATAGCACCAGTATATTCATCATATAGGATTTGTCTATGTGTGTGCAGAAGGAAAGGCTATTTTCATAGAATTTTTGCTATGCTGATATTGTAAACTATATGACAGATGGGTCAAGTCCTGATTGCAGTATTCTAACATTTGGAATAGCAAGTAACATATTTGATAGAGCTGGCAAGTTTTATATATGATTCAACCCAGAATATAAAAGCCACTAGAATTCCAAGTTGAAAATAATTAAATGAGCTGGAAACAATCAGAAACCACACATTTTTTAAAGTGACAGATTTTTTTACATGTTTAAATTGCACGAAGAATGCAAGAATATTTTATAGCTCCTTTTCACCAACAGTGGTGTTTAAGTCTGAAATCTGTAATTGGTCTTTGCAAAGCAATTAATTCCTATGTTCATTGTTTCGCTATGAAACCTCACAATAGTCATTGGGGCACCTTCAATAGGGAACCTTTCTTACCATTATAGGGTGCAAAAACCAGGCAATATTTTTTCAGATTTCTCACACACACACCTATAAGTTTTAAATTATCATACTAAACTCCTCCTTTTTGCACTTGGCTACATGAAATACAATTAGCATTCCACTGAATTTTAAGCATCTTGATTGCAAAGCACTGTAACGTCGTAGAATCTGGTGACTTCTAAAATGTTTGTTGTCAAATGGTGTTATCATTGTGTAATACTTCAAGTAATGAGAAGGAGCTTATTCCATTTGTGTTTTATCATTTCGGCTTGCTTTTCTTTCAAAGTTTACATCTTTTAGTCACTGTCTATGATGTCATATGTCTCTTTACTTTTGGTGTGTCTCTCTCCATCACTGACAAACAGCTCGTCCAGCTAAGCCTAAACGTAAGCCACCGTTGGGCCATCACCATCCACTCAAACTCAGCCTAACATGATAAATCAGATGCTCAAAGGCATACCTAGACAAACACCAAGTACTGTCACCGTTTTTCCTTTCTTTTATTCAACCGTCTTCTAGTTTAGTGTTTTTTCGTTGTTTTAGTTTAGTTTAATATTAGGAAGCTAGTTCTACTGTAAGGCTTTTTTAAACTATCTAGCACAACAAAGTAGGCTTTTAGAGACGTAGAAATAGTAGTACTTATTTCAGAATGTCCACATTTTCTGTCTAGCAATGTCTGACATATGCAACATTTTCAAATATCAACGTCAGCACAAAATAACATTGTTGTTGCATAACATTTTGCATGATAACGATGAATATGTATGAGCTTTAAACGATGTTGTATGAAATGTTTGATAAGTATATGGTATACGTTTCATTTAACTGTCAGTGCTCCAGCTATCTCAACAGAATATTCTGATGTATAGTAACTTACCCAGGGAAATATTTAAAATAAGGAAAAAAAAAAAAGATTGACATCTGTTGGCTGCCAAAGTTGATAAAGCAAAATATTTTCTTTAAAGACAGCATCTCTGAGCAGTTGTTCTTATTAACACTTTTGTCTTTTAGTTGTGTTTGAGAGCAGATCACTGCCACGAATGAAAGAACAAACCATACCAGGATTTATACTGCTCGCGTTGCAGTCAATGTCAAAGCTGCCATTGACTTCAGTGCTGTGGGGAAAGCACCCGTGTATTTTGGAAGGTTTTTGTGACCTGTTATTGCACAAAAGAAAAACGCTGTCTCTGCTGAGGCGTTTGCATGGATAAAAGAAAGAATGACAAGTTAATAATTAGCTCTCCGTTCAGTATTTGCCTTGAGAAAATATGTGAAGGGAAACATGTGAAACACTTTTCAAACTGGGGCAGGGGATAGGGTGACCAGACAGCAAGTGTGAAAAATTGGGACAGAGGTGGGAGGTAATAGACAAAGCCCCAAATATCGGGACTGTCCCTATAAAATCGGGACATCTGATCACCCTAGCAGGGGATGACCCTAAAGTCCATATTTAGTGCCCAACCCATCAGAACATCTGCACAAAAACCACTTCACAGGATTGGGGCCCTTGGTGCCACATAAACAGAAATGATCTGATTTTTCAAGGAACCGAACATCTATTGCTCCCATTGATTTTAGGTTTAGATGCTCATCACTTTTTTAAAACTCAAGGCACCGACATAGATGCCTAACTGTGAACTTAGGTCCTTAATTTTAGGCTTCTGATATCGAACATTTTGACCATTGTTTTTAATGAGTAACCATTTAACTATAGGGATGTGTTCAAAAAAAGTTTCAGGTGAAATCCTGGCCCTGTTAACAGTCAACATCAAAACTCCCATAGACTTCAGAGGGGCCAAAACAGCTTCCATAATTCTTCCAGGCCTTGATTCAGCAAAGCACTTACATCTGTGCCTAACTTTAAGTTCGTGTTTAAGTCAATCAGGTACGACTAGAATTTTCAGTGGCATCTTAAGGAGATAGGCGCCCAGCTCCAGTTGAATTTCAGCTGAGTCCCTCTGGCTCCTTTGAAAATCCCAGTCTAGTGCCTTGCTAAATAGGGATGGACCATTAAGTGCTTTGCTGAATTGGGGATTAGTTAAACTGCATTTACACCACTTTAATTCTGTAAGGCCTGGTCTACACCTAAAAGTTAGGTCAACATAACTACAGCTGTGTTTCAGACCCCTGCGCACTATAGCTCTACCAGCCTCACCCCCAAGGGAGACACAGAATGCTTCCATCACCCTACCTATTGTGGCTCAGGGAGATGGAGTTCCTACAGTGACGGAAAAACCCCTCTGTCCCTGTTGCAAGCATCCACACTCTGGCACTACAGCAGTATAGCTACGGTGCCATCGCTCTGCCCCGTTAGTGCTGGCATGGCTTTAGGGTGCCCGCAGAGGGGTTTAATGCAGTTTAACTTATCCACTTTAAATTCACACATTTAGTGAATTCGGGTTAACATTCCTGAGTGTCCCCATGTAGACAAGCCCTAAGTCAGTTTTTCACAGCTGTGAGCCACTGGTTTTTGTTCTTAGGGACTCATCTCATGGGCTGCCTACACTACAGGCCTTCCAGTGGCACAGCCACTGTAAGCTCTCCCGTGTAGCCTTTCTATGCTGATGGGAGAGAGCTCTCCCATTGGCATAATTAATCGCAGCGAGCAGCAGTAGCTATGTCAGCAGGAGAGCACTGTCCACACCGGTGCTTTTATCAGTGAAACTTAGATCAGTCAGAGGGGTGTGTTTTTCACACCCCTGACTGACAAAAGTTTTACCAACAGAAGTGCTAGTGTAGACATAGCCACTGTTGCATTTGGCCAGCTCCTTGGACTTTTTCATTGATATCTGGATTATTAATGAGTGGTGGGGTTTATATATTTATTTATTCAGATTTCTAATGAAATATTCCGAAAGGTGTTTGTCTACTGTACATAACATTTAATATATTGATGCATAAGCATTAGTATAAGATGTACATAAGCATTAGGTTGACTTCATTTTAGAAGGTTTGGAGAATACTGCAAGATAGTATGAAATAGCTCTGCGTTTTCTCCACCTTGCTTCGGTGTTTGAACTCATGTGTGATTTATTTAAGGGATTTTATGCTTTAAAGTTGAATATGTTTTCCCATAAAACTGTACTTATAAACACAGGGTCTGATTTACCACTGTGTCCTTCCAACTTTACTCAAGCATAACTCCCTTGTTTTCAGTGTAATTATATCTAGGAGTAACCAGTGGTGAATTGGACCTGCAACTTTTATTCTATATAGTTGGGCCCACGTATAAAGTTTCTACAAGTTTGACATTTCTTTTTATTTTATTCCCCATTATATATATAAGTGATATCTCTTAAATGGGTAAAATCTTTCAGAACAGTAGAATCTTTTTAAGCGCACCCATTGTATATCATTGAAATTAATGTATCACTGTTATATTCAACAACTTACTTTTTTAAAAGCTCCATTGAAACAAAACTCTAAAAATTATGTGTATGTCAAATATATAGTAGCACAGTCTAACCAGAAAGATACATATTGTCATCTGTTAATAGATAGATGCTGTCTCTATGGAATTTGCTATTCTATTAATTTGAATTAATAAAGTGTCACCAACACAAAATGGAAAGTAAAACAATTCATATAGTATTTTGAAATTCAGAGCTGGAGCACTGTGTTTTCATAGTACAAATAACAAATGTGGCTTTACGGTTTGCTCAGTACTAATTATAGAGCATTTAACACTTGCATGAAAAGATTTTTAGAGTTATTAACTATTATGGAACTTTTTCCACTTAAATCTATTGGCCATACGTCTAGCCTCTCATGTTTCACTCCATTTTAACTCAAGTTCTTCTACTACAGAAAATGTAGGCCGGTTAGTCACTCCTGCCAAAAAGCTAGAAGATACTATACGCCTGGCAGAACTGGTAATTGAAGTTCTACAGCAGAATGAAGAACACCATGCAGAGGTGAGTAGCAGGGCTCTAGCATGACTTTGGACAGGATCTTGTTGGTTTTGGAGAGCTTTGTCCATTTCGCTGTGCTGAATGTTGAACCACACCATGTGGTTTCATATCACTGGTAAAGCCACCTGGTCTTCTTCAATAACTGTCAAAATATAATTGCAGAAAAAATAAACTTGGGGAAGTCAGTTTTTAGAGGAGGGGAGAGGTTACGCAAAATTGGCCAGATTCTGCTTTCGTCAGTGAGAGCTGAATCTGGCCAACCCACCGGACTAATCACAATATAAAGTCTGTCCACTTTCAAGAAGGGTCATGGGTTTCCAAAAAGTCATGTTTATACTTCCAAGCATAATGAAATGAATCAGTTTCAGCCTCATCCAAACAGCATTCCCTTGTCACCATTCAGCATTGTAGCAAAGAAAAAGCACCACAAATGTTCAAGCTATTTTTGGTCTGTTTCTTTCTATATAAAATTCTTTTAACAAATTTTTTGTTTCTTTTTTACTTGTGTCATTGAATATGATGATCTTCTTTTACTCACTGTGGCTTTTCAGTCAGCTACGCCTTTCTCAGCCTGTTTGGAGTATCCTGGTTGTGCTGTGGCTGAAATGAATTGTCCTCTATTACTGAATATATAGGTTATCCAATACTTAGCAAAATGAAAAATAGCTTTATTCTTCAAAGCCGTCTAGCAGAAAGATTCTTGTTTTAATAAGACTTTTAAACAGGGAATCCATATCTCACTAAGTCCAAAATATAAGAGAACCTCAGTAGCATAGGTCTTGATCTTGTGACCACTTAAACACGTGAGTAATTGCATTGAGGTGTTTAACCTCATTGATGAGATGTCATGAGATTTTCATCTCGGTGGGCCTACCCACATGAGTAAAGTTGCACGTGTGTAAGAATATACAGGATCAGGCCCTTAGTGCTCTGCAAATCCAGTACTCTGTGATAATTGTCGTAAAGCTGATCATTTTAAAACTCAGATTTAACAATTATTTGTTTATAACTTTAGTATTGTTACAATCATTCACTATTTTCTCTTCTCCTTCACATTTTTAAATATATATATTTATATATATTGCATTAAATAAATTTGATAAATAATGTCACAATCACTGAAAAAAATCATTCTGATGTATATTAAATTTACAGTACAATCTAACTTATTTCTACAACACAACCATCCACGAGTCCCAACTAATGCCTGATTGCATATTTAAATTTCCTCCCTGTTTTTCTACTGTTCATTCAATCTTGGATGATCCTGGCAGGGGAAAGAGGTATGTGACTAAACTGAATGAAATGAGTCACCTCCTGTCATATTTCGTGCATGCCCTCTCGGTGCCATGTTTCCTAATGGGATTTTACCTGGGTTATCCTTGCTTTGTAACTTTGATCCAAGGAATGTAACAGCAACTTCAGAGTGACTGCTTGTGGAATTGGTAGCCCCGCACAGAGGGGTAAATGTGGGACCGTATCCAGTCCAAGCATGTAACAATGAGTATATTTTACAAGCACTGCAGTTACATCCCAACACAACCCTTACCTGCCTGGAATCTTTCCTCAGCCTGTTGTTACCTATGTTGTTCTGCATTTACCTGATCTATAGTACACTACTGCAATTATGAAATAAGTAATAAACTGTTAGGGTGATAATAGTCTTCCTTTAATTTTGTCTTTGTGTGTACTGTAGTAGATATACAGTATTTATATATAGAGAGAGAATATACTGTAGTGAAGAGTGAAATAATCTTTATTTTCGTTTATTTGGGAGGCTAGCTGTAAGAGTCGGAAAGAGCAGAATGCCACAGAGCTACATGTGAATTGTGATAGACTGTCTACAGAAAATAATACTTTATTCCACTCATCACCGTCATATATTCTATGTACACACTGTAAGGAAAGAACTCTCTTTATTTTTTAATGCTAGTTATTTTTATAATGGCAGTATGTTGTGAGGCAAGTGGCTACGATGCTGGGCACGAGTTCTGTCCGCTGCATTGAGAAGATAAAAATATGCGTCATGGTTTCAGAACAGAAGGGTTTAATCAGAGACCATGTGTTTGTGGCAATAGGAGGAGAACATGTATACTCTGCTCCTACTTTGGATGATGATCTGAAAGGGTGACATTCATCCCTGTCCAGAGGGCCAACACAAAGTCTTATTTTGAGGGGTCTAAGGGTCTGTCTACACTGCAATGAGACACCTGAGTCTGGCCTGTGCCAGCAGACTTGGGCTCACGCAACCTGGGCTAAGGGGCTGTTTAATTATAGTGTAAATGGTCAGGCTCGAGCTGCAGCCCAAGCTCTGGGACCCTCCCATCTCTCTGGGTCCTAAATCCTGGGCTCCAGCCTACGTCTACACCACAATTAAACTGCCTCTGAGCCCAAACCCAAACCAGACGTGGGTGTCTAATTGCAGTGTAGACATACCCTAAGTGGGACTTAAGTGGTGCACAGGAATTGTGCCCATAGGGTGAATTTCACCCCAATGAGGAAAGCAATAGGTTGAATGTGGTTTTATCATGTGGCTTTTATGGTATGTACAACTATATCCACATTATTTCCTTTGTTATTGTGCAATATCTTGTTGAGATTTCATGAGATTTTGCCAAGTAACTGCACTGTACTCAAAGGAGACACCTGCAGGGATATTTATATGTAAGCTCAGTTATCAGGAGTGTTACGCACTGTGACATTTTAGAAATGTCTTCTCAGTATCTTACATATGGTCGAAAAAAGTCTTCACGGTTAAGTTCAAGATTTTCTGTCTATGTTTTCTGCTTATATCAATGTAATTAAGTCTACCTTGTGGGCTTAATTACTCCAAATCAGTTTTCATATGCGTTTTTTTTTCTGTTCACCTGGAGTTAGTAAAGACCACCCACGACGATAGAGATGACTCATATGTCTAGTTGGATATCCCTCAAGAAAACGAAGTTGTCACTTACTGGAGAAATGCCAGGATCAGTAGCATTTGTACATGGAAATTAGTCTGTTTTGTTCTAGCATGTGAATGCATGTAAACATGCCAACAATACACATTACAGACTCATAAAACAAATCTGAGAGACCCCAAATGGCCACTACCCTGTGGGAAAAATTTGAAAAATATTAACAGGGAGAAATTATATTTTATTAAGTTGTTTTTGTTAGTCACAATAAGGAATAAAATTGCTCAGACGAAAGCGCAGAAGAAACATCCATTGTACCGTATGTACACGACTATAATACATGAGAGCTTAGACTCACGGCATTTCTGTCATCAGGTGTCTCCAAAGTTGATTCTCCTCCACATGGAAGAATGATTGTAAATGTCATAAGACCTAAGCCTTCATGTATCTTTAATCTTGCCCTCTCTCTCTCTCTCTATGTATATGTATGTATATGTATATATGTATTTTAACTCTTTGAAGATATGCATATATACATGTGTACCTGTGTGTTAAAATATACAATATTAGGTGTGTTTGTCTAGAAAGCACACTTTTTTCCTTAAATCATATTGAAGCAAAGCAGGTAAGTAGATGGTTGATAAAATTGAAAGAGATTTTTGAGTGATGAAATGTTATTTCTCTCATTTCAAGAAATTAGTGCCTAGCTGTGAAGGGGTGGGGGGATCCCAGACATGAGTTGGATAATTATGAAGGTAGAATTTGAAAATTCCAGCAGAAATAAAAGTATGACTGTGTTTTTCACAAGTGATCACATATAGATTTTCTTGTTAATTTCTTTAAAAAAAAATTCTTTCTCATGAAAGCAGGTTTTCTTGCAGGACTCTTAAATAAATATTTTGGGATTTGTTGGAGAAAATATTATTTTTCTCCCCCCAAAATAGTGATTTTGTTCATCTTCATGGGCAGAGTGACTAACAGGATTCTTAGCACTCAGATCCATTTGCTAGTAACTTGGCAAGGAGACAGAGTTTTATATTCTTAAGAAACAAAGCCCAGCCAGAAAAAATGTAGCATCGCAAGTATCAACTCTTCCAAACTAGTTTAAAAAAATTGTTTTAAAGGGACACTGTCAACCGCCATAGCTTTTATGTTTTTTACCTGTGGAGAAAATTTGAGCAGACGTTGAAAGCAGAATTGATTCCTGCCACTTTTGCTTCAGATGATCTCGCCGTTGGAGAATATTGTGTAAAAATATCCAACCCACCATCACATCAAAGCAGCATTTTCACATCTCTCTCTCTCTCCCTTTTGGACATGAACCCCAGAGAGAGCCGCTAACAGCACTGGTTCACACTCAGCGGTGCTGAGCGGCCTCGCCCTGTTCATGGCAGTCGTAGAATAACTACTCAGCAAACACGTTAGCAAAAGTCCAAGACGGTCTTTGTATCTGACCCTGGGCTTACTGAACATCCATGGGGGCAGATTTTTTTTCAGTGATGGCACGCGTGATGGATGTCAGTTTGCAGTCTGCCCAGACTAAGGGGCTGTGTGTTGCTGAGTTGGAGAATTTCTTCGTGCTGCTCCAGGGAGGAAGTAAAACTGCACCAGGTCTATACCCAGTGCAGCATGTGTTCCCCAGCGTGCCAGCACAGATCTGCTACTGGGCATTAATTGGTGGGGGCGGGGGGCTGGAGCTAAGGTTTCTCCCATTCTCCACCCTCTCTCTCCTCTTCCTGCCCACTGGAGCAAGAGAGTGGAGCTGCTCTGCAGAGCCTGCTTCCCTCCGAGTGCAGGAAATGGTGCTATGATGCACCAGTGCAAGGGCTAAGGGGACACCTTCCTGCCCCTCATTCCCTGGTGCTGGCACACAAGGCAGGCCACACTTATACAATTATACACACAGTTGGCCTGATTCTTTACTCTTTTCCACTGGTTTTATGCTGGTGTGACTCTGTTGAGGTCAGTGGAGTTAGAGTGGCATAAAATTGGGATAGTGAAATGGAGACTCAGTCCCATGGCTTTGTAGCTTGTGTAGCTGGAAGCTGAGTACAAGGGAGACCAAATGGGAAACTATTCAAGGGATTCTGCCGTTGGCAGGAATGTTGTTATGAGGTACAGGCAGGGCCGCAAAAAGCGGGTTCGGGCCCCGGTGAAAAAAAAATTTCGGGCCCCCCCAGCAAGGGCAGACCAGCTAAACAGGCCGACGGGGGCGGGGGAGCCGGGCCCCAGGCCCCCTTCCGGACTGCCAGGCTCCGGTAAGGTGATGAGGGGGGGTGAAGCCAGGCCCCGGGCCCCCTTCTGGACCACCGGGCCCCAGTAATTTGTACCGGCTTCCCCCCCCCCCTTCATCGGCTCTGGGTACAGGTACCTGTATATGGCAAAACACCCTCCTTAGTCTAATGGATGATTAACGTTAGGCTCTGCAACATTCTAAAACAAGCTCAATAATAAGGATTAATGAACAAATGCTGCTGTCATTGATGTCAATGGCAGAACTTCAGTGCATGCAAGATCGAGCCCTAAGAAAGATAGAAATCCATTCTGTCCATTCACGTCTGACAGAAACTTACTCCTTCCAGGAGGCAAAAATACATATTCCTGGCTAACAGGTTCTCTTTAAACTGACACGTTTATTCTCAGTCTTCTTTGTTCCATCTTTCTAGTCTGGTGCCTATTTATTAGGTTTCTTTCTCTTGGAAAGTCTGGGATGATATTTCTTAGGTAGACACTTTAAATCTTTGAGTAGTTTCCTATCACCTAAAAATTACTGCACACGGTCCTATTGACAGCACCGCTCATACTGCATGTTCCCAGCCAGAAGTGATTACTAAACACGCATGCATGCGTTTGAAACACATTCGCATCTGAGCCATGTATGATGTGAATGTCACTTCAGAGAACCTGTACAGTGAATTTTAAGGACCCATGTGCATGAAAATGAGTTACTTCACTGATATTTTTTGGTTTTCAAGTTTATATATGTTTCCTGCCTCAGTAAAGTCCTGGCTTGATTTTGATGTTTTAAGACTGGTATCCTGACATGTCTATAACATAGTTCTGAAATTGGTTACAAACATTTTCATAATAAGTGGCATTGTAAATAATGCTAGTAAGTTTAAAGAGCTTTATACCTAACCATGTAAAATGAAAGGTGCTGTAGTAATTTTTACTGGTGATGCTTGAAATATTTCTAGAGAAGAGATTTAGGAAAGACTATGAAAGTGCAGGCTTCTAGCATTTCAAGATGAACAGTACTAGCAAATCCAAATACATTGAAAAACCATTGAAAAACGTAGCAGAAAACCCACAAACACAGTGAAGAAACTCCCAGATTTCTATACCTTAGAATAAGAACTAGTTGACTCCTCCAGTAAATAGCATGATTCAAGAAAAATGTTAGTGAGTTATTGTAAATTGAACAGACATACCTTTCCTGTCATGTTACAACTGATTATTCGTACCGTGCAGTTCTGAATGTATGCGCTATGAGACATTTCTGTATCAAAATGGTAGGTGCATAATTGATGTGATTTGCACTGTACACGCCGTGGCTAACATTTGAAAGCACTGTTCTCTTTACAATAAAGCTGGTTTTCCCTGGGATGCACATTTGTTTTTAAGATAAATGGTCTCTTCTCATTGACTGTGCTTTAATAGAACTAATACATTTCTTTATTATTATTATTTTTTTCTACCAAATTTTAAGGCCTTTGCGTGGTGGTCAGACTTAATGGTTGAACATGCAGAAACCTTCCTGTCATTGTTTGCGGTGGATATGGATGCTGCATTAGAGGTGCAACCCCCAGACACGTGGGACAGCTTTCCACTGTTTCAGCTGCTAAATGATTTCCTCCGTGCTGACTGTATGTATTGTATTTTGACCATGTATTTTTGATAGGGCAAATCTGCCAGGTTATTGGTGCTATTTCTGGCGTTTCCATGCTGTACAGAAAACCAGGATGGGGTGTTACTTTAAAACAAATGTATCAGTTTAATTTTGTGATTGCCTTAGGGAAAAATTGCTGCGTATATCATTTATTTATTTTACTTTAATATAAAAAAAATTCTTTTCCTGCCTTTCATTTGCTCAGGAATTTGTTTTAAGTAAAGATAAATTCCTGTTCAAAGTCAGGGAGTGGAACTTCTGTAATGTCCTATTCACACGGGTTCCATGGCGGTGAGTGCATTATTGATGGTTAGTAAATTCATTAAGCATTTCTACCTGCACCATATTTTACAAAATATGGAGTCTCTCCCCCATCCCCACACCCCAAAGAGTTTAAGGAAAGGAAACAGATCTGGGTTTTATATTGAGTAAAATAAATGACATAAGGTTGGTTTATACGCAAGAGAAATGCAAAGAAGCAAGGTTAGCAGTGGATTTAACTGTTTTCTCTCCTGTCATGTTACATGCTGGTAGGACAGGTGAGATTTCCAGAGGCACCCCCTATTGGCCTAACTCTGCTCCCTTTGAAGCCAATGCTTTTAATTCCTGTTAACTGCAATGGGAGCAGAATTAGGCCAATTCTGAGTGCTCTTGGAAATCCCATACAGTGCCATCCAGTCCCATCTGACCCATGTTAGTAAATTAGACCCCAATCTTGCAAAAAGAGCCTATTGCAGGATCCGGTCCTTAATTAGCTTCTTCAGACATGCCTAATGAGTGTTGAGGTTCCTCTTAGGAGAAAAACAATTTCCTGAATCAGAGAAGTGATTCTCTAATGAAGCACTGCTTTCCCAAGCTTGCACAGGCAGTGATGTTTACCACACTCTGTTTCATTTGTACTCTTTTTATAACAGCAAATAGTACATAATTGTTTTGTTATCTCTAAGTTTGATACTAATGGAGAAGAGCTACTGTTTGATTGTTCCAGTTAAGAGCTCAATCCTGCTGTGTTTATCACTGATCTTGGTGGTTCAGGACTCCCAGTGCAAACTCCAGTTATGAAATTTCTTCATATTAGCCAGCATATTCGTTGTGTAATAAAATGCCACTACTTGTGGGTTGTTACAGAGGATTCAGTAACAATAGTTTCTTACTATACTTTTATTTATCTATTCTAGATAATTTGTGCAATGGAAAATTCCACAAACACCTTCAAGACCTGTTTGCTCCACTTGTTGTTAGATATGTCGATCTGATGGAGTCCTCAATTGCACAATCAATTCACAGGGGCTTTGAGCGGGAATCATGGGAGCCAGTAAAGTAAGGAAATCTCCTTTGATACAATCGGAGTTTGGGTGCAAATGGATGGAGATTCGTACAGAGATGAAGTAGTAAACACTAGATTGGACATCCAGCAAATGCCTTATATTTTCTAGAATAATCCTAAAAATATAAGGCCTAATTTGTTAAGGGTTTTAAAGGTTTATGAAAAAAACAATATGTGATTTTTTTTTTAGTGAAATGCTGACTTAAGTTGAACACTTTAGCTGTGCAAATGGAAATATGAGAAACGTGAAATCCTCTCATTTTGCTTGGCTTTTTAGATCTTACTACCCAATCTAAAAAGCCTTTTCCAATGCTGCTCTTAAATACAAATAGCTTCTTTTCAGAACAAAAACCTTGCTTTACTGTGTTCGGTCCAGCCCTATACATTGGGTGGGTCACTATTGCAATTTTTATTCCAAAAACTCATTTTTTTCCACCCACCCTGTGAAGGGATAATGCAGAGATGTGCTTCGTCAGTTCAGCACCACTGCTGATCGCTGGATTGATTTTTTTAAAATGCAATCTGTGAAGGGCACCAGCGCAAGATACTGCTTGAAAGCTATGCACTTTCAGTAATAAACATCTTTAAACCAGGTTCGGGAGAGATCCTGGAGGTACCTGCCCTAAAGGGAAACTTGGTGTGCTATAAAACTACTGTGGAGCAGAAATTAGAGGGAAGATTTGAGCAAAACTATTTACTGATCTCATAGAAGCGATAGCTTAAAACTAAGAAATAAATGTAGTGAGAGACCAAACTCTTAGCCTGAGATCTGTGCAATTTTGAAAACATAAAGTCCTTTAAAACAATGGCAATTTTACAGTATAATTATTACTTCTTAAGTTTCTAAGCATTGCAGAATACTGTCGTGCTTGTTCCAAGAAGGCATGGTTAGATACTATGAAAGACGTGTATCCTTTAAAAAAAATGAAAAGAGTAAGCTGAAAGATACCCAGTTGTAAGATATTGTTCTTCTCTGAAAAGTTACTATGTAAAAGGGGTGTGTGTCTTTCAGTGTTTTCCATACCAAAAAGAGATTCCATACCAGTTAAAAGAGATTTTGTGCAGACAGCCGGCCCTCCAAATTCAACCTGGAATATGATTATCTAGGATGGTTCTTGCTTTCTAGGACATCACCACCAGCAGTAAAGGTTTTGTGTGCCAAATTAGGCCCTCGTTTACACCCGTGCAATCCTTCTTTTCAGTCATTTATCCCTGTTACAGAGGGACAAATGACTGCAACTCAGTACTCCATCATGTCGATACATGAGAAGGAATAGAAGAATCCAGCTCACTTTCCCGTTGCTGTCTTGGATTTGCAGTGTTAAGAGGATTAAAAACACTAAAAAATCATTTTTGACTCTAAAATAAGCAGATGTAACTCTGAAAACACACAGGAAATTGATCTTTGAGTGGCAAAATGCCATTTTTACATAATCATTTCTTCAGCTAGAACTGCATTTTAAAGTTAGCATTAGCTTTAATTTTGCAGCCTGGCTTTAGTAATAGATAGGTTATAAAATTGGTGCAATCACTTCATGTAACCATACTACTTAACCATGCATTTGACAAATAATTAGCTCCTTTTATTTTATTTGTTTTAAATCAGAAACTTGAATAAATGAATATTTTTGGTTTTAACTAACCTTAGACTCAAATATAGATGTATATAAATGTATGTTTTTGTAACAACATTTGGGTTTTGAAATGTTTTCTCAATGTTTTGGATATGTGGAACATAATCGCTTTCAAAATTAAAGTAGGGAGTTTCTGATATGTTAATGCTATAATTTTAATGTATCCTTCAAGTTATGAAAACTTCTTTTCTTAGTCTAATGTTTCACTTTGAGACTCATCTTTCTCATAGAGTGGACTGGGATGCTTAAAAGTGCTTTGACACGGAGTACGTATTCTGTTCATGGAAACCTTATGTTCCTTTAGTGAAAACATGCATTTTAATATTTTTTTTCACTAGCAGATATTTCATTCTTAGTTTACCGGAGAGAGAGAGTTGTTAAAGATAACTCATTGGGATTTGACATAAAGCCAGTGAACATATCTGTGCAAAACATAGAGAACAATATGCACTGTGTGAAGGAAAATAGGGAATCGTATTCCGATCTTACTGATGGTCGTTTGGGGCCTGGTTCAGAACTAGATGTTAAGAAATCTTCTTTCGCTGTCTCATGGGCAGGCAGTGTGCTATTCTTTACCAGACTGGATGTTTTCCTAGAAGATCTGCTCTAGGAATTATTTTGGGGAAGTTCTCTGGCCTGTGTTATACAGGAGGTCAGACTAGATAATCACAATGGTCCCTTCTGGCCTTGGACTCTATGACTCCACAATAAACCTGCAAGCAGACTCAACGTAACAGATGTATTTTACTTACTCTCCCCAACTCCACCACATACCTCCTCTTTCAGCTACCCAGTCACACTCTCAGACAGTTGATTTCTTTGGGCTATTTGTCCTATTTTGCAGCTCTACGGAGGTGACAATTGGTAACCACCACTTCATATTTCCCAGATGAGTGCACAATATTGTTTACACACTGATATTTGCCTGTTTTTACATTCACAAGAAAGACTGAAAGAAATAGCATCCTAATACTGCAACAGTGCAAAAGACACTGACTTGACCTTCTCCTGTTACACAATTGCATAGTAACATAGCAGCAACAATGGAAATGATACTGCTAAAAACATAAAACATCTTTGCCCTTGGAAAATTCTGCCCAGCTTTACTCAGCTTTGAAGAAAGGCTTTCAACTTGGCCTGAAGAGGTGAAGCAGAATACATGTCTACTGCTATCCTGCTTTAGATCTTTACATCAAATTGTGAGAGTGAAATCCCATTACCTCGTGACAGCCAGGAAATTATTCCACAGCATAGTCTTTTCAAAAGGCTTTTCTATGCTCATGCTTGCAATCAAGGCTGAAGTATATGTTCCTATATAACCTGACCAGATGGCAGTAGACAAGCATGTCATCATTATATTTTCATTGCTGGATACTGTTCACCTAATGCTACGACTAGCTGGGTATAGAATCATATAAACAGTAAGATAGATGCCATTAAATAATGAAAACACTGAAGAAAAAATGTCCACATAATTTTCTTATGCGGGCTGTGTAATCTGACTCTTTTGCACAACTCTGAGTAGCTATAGAACTTATGAGCATGGGTTACCTGCCCTGTAACAGTTTGCACAGCTGATATGTCTGTGCAAAACTATGAAGAGAAAATGAAACCAGGTGAAACAGCAAACCTTATCACAGAGAGTGTCAGTTAGATCTGTTTCCAGATTGGTTTAGTATATAAAGTCAGGTGAGAGGCAGCTTCGTGCCCTTAGCTTTTTTTCCACTAGGTTCTCAGTGAGCTCTGAAATACATAGCAACCACCAGACACCTAAATGTATACTGTTTGCAGAGCACTTAGCAGCTGAGGTCCTCTTGAGCAGACCGTCAGGTAATGACCACTGCTGGCCTTTTGAGTTGGCTTGGTAGAAAATTGTACAAATCTCTTCTGGGACACCCGAACGACCAGAAAAGTATCTTCTGTAACATTGTAGAAGTCACTGGATTTTAGTACAAGACGGTCAGTCTCAGCGCTTCTTTTCAATTTGCAAGTTGAATTTGCAGACTGAAAACCCAACCAAATGGCCACGCTTTATTAAGGATTCATTGGTAAGCAGGTTATAAAAGGAAAATAAGATGTTTTAATAAATGGTCCATCAATTATTATGGATTGTTATAGAGTCCAACAGGTTTCTTATAACTTAATCTCTCTGTGCTTCTGTCCCCCAACTGTAAAATGGGGCTAATAACCTTAAAGGGTGGGCTAGTGGGTGGAGCACTGGAATCTGTGACTCAGGAGATATGGTTTCTGTTCCTAGCTCTGTCACTGGCCCAGTGGGTGAACTTGGACAAGCACTTCCCTGCTTTGTGCCTCAGTTTCCCTATCTGTAAATTGGGAATAATGGTACTGACCCACTTCGTTAATGCTCTGTGATCTACTGGGGGAAGATGCACTATACAAGAGATAGGTATTGTTATGATACCCATGACTTATAACTATCTACAACGCTTTATACTCCTGTACCTATAACCATCCAAAACACATACTGCTAATGATGTTAACATTTGTTAATCATTTGTTAACCCTTTATAAACGTATCCTTAATATATTAATATAACATGTGACCAATTAAACAGCATGAGTATATCAGCAAGTCAGACAGAACAAGTGAGGTTGTCCTGCTAGAGCGGGGGTCGGCAACCTTTCAGAAGTGGTGTGCCACGTCTTCATTTATTCACTCTAATTTAAGGTTTCGTATGCCCGTCAGACATTTTAATGTTTTTAGAAGGTCTCTTTCTATAAGTCTATAATATATAACTAAACTATTGTTGTATGTAAATAAACTTTTTAAAATGTTTAAAAAGCTTCATTTAAAATTAAATTAAAATGCAGAGCCCCCCAGACCGGTGGCCAGGACCTCGGCAGTGTGAGTGCCACTGCAAATCAGCTCGTGTGCCGCCTTTGGCTTGCGTGCCATAGGTTGCCTATCCCTGTGCTAGAGAGATGTCCTGGGAAAAAGTGGCCTGCCAAGAAAAAGTTCTTGTAGGCGTATATTATTTACGGTTACCAAACCAGACATCAAGCCACAGACAGAGCACAGATTTTGCTACTAACGTCACTGATATGCCCCTAGTACTGAAGCCTTTGTAGAAAGACTACCACTTGGATTGGTTCAGCATTTACAGTAATCAAATTGAATTTCTAGAGGAGTCAGAGGAATAGCTGATCAGTAAGTGATTTCAGGGTACCTGTGGGAACTGAACGTTTAAGCACCAACAAGTCTCTAATTTATGGACATGTTCTGTACCTAGGTGGGCTAACTCAATAAAAACTCCACGGTTTTCTGGCCACTCTTATATCAATTGCATAGTATGGCATTTATTATGTAGTTTCTTATGCATTTTTACTGGTTTTCTGTGGACAGTACTGCAACAGAGAAAGTGAACTTTTTAATTTATTTTCATAGGGTACATTACCATGATGCCATTAGTCACTGATAGTGTGGCTGTGATGAGGTTTTTATAGCTAGACAATGGAGGTCTGAATTGTAGAAATGTAGAAAATAGAAAAAATTGGGAGTAAATAGAAGAACAGTGCAAAATGAGCTGTGCAATCTGCCAGAACTTCCCTTATCACGTACATTAGGCCCCAGTTCTGAAACTGAATCCTCGTAGACCAACCAACCCTCTGCCACTAATGAGCTGAGTGTCACCTCCATCAGACTGCTGGATTGGGGCCAAATTTAACATCTTGTATTAAAATAGATACGGGCTGATTTTTCGAAGCAGCTTCCCATTTTGTACCCGTAATTTTATGGCCTGAATAAATGCAGACACAAACATTTATGGATGATATTGATGTCATTTACGGATCTAGCTACCTGATTGCAGGTGCAAATCAGTTCATTAGATGTGTAAATTAGATCAGTTGCACCTGCAACATTGTGAATGCAAAGGAGAAGGCTTTTTTTCAAAATCAGGCCCTGTGTGTTAACATTACACTACATACACTACATTATTTTGCTGTTAAAAGTTGTAACTTATCCTTGCAAGGGCCACAACGCATCAGCAAAATAATGTGTTGTGTAAAAGAAATATGTTTAAATGCGAATACAGTATAGTATTTTCTGTGGAAAATCATTTTAATAATACAATGTTTTAATGAATATGACACTAAGTATCTTCTTGAATTTTTAGTATTAAAAACAAAGGGTTTTTTTGATTTATGTGTTCACCATTTGGCTAATCTTTTTCAGTTGCTCTTCCTTATACATTTATATGTTATCCATCCCTTGCTATTTTTGATTTATTCAATATCAATATTAACTACAAGGACATACCATTCCTAAAGATCTAACAATTTCTCAGTCATTATGAAATAGGTGTATCATTTGAAAATCATATTCACTTTAAGAGGCATATACACATCTGAATGGAAACTGGATGGTTTTGTTGCATGAGAAGTCTCCTATGTATGTTTCTTCATTCATAAGGAGAACAAGCAGATAGTGTGAAGTCGAATTTACCAGAAACATAAATAAATCAGAAAGCATCTTTTTCACCCCAAAATGACATTAGACTGTATTTTTCCTTGGAGGTGGAACTTTGTTCAAAAGTTAAGAATGAAAATCCAAGACATTCTGCCTCTTGGCTGTGTAACTAATGCCTTGAAATGCAGTTACTGGCTGATTCTTGTAATGATACCGTTTAAACGTGTTATTGCATTAGCAATTTTCTATCCAGTATTGCTGATGCAATTATGTGTATCTTTGTTTTCTGATATAATAAGATTGACCATAAGAAATGCAGCTCAAAAATGTATTTACACCTATAGAAAATTACTAATAGAATTTAATTGCTCCATTGGAAGAGGAGAACATGAAATTATACAGTTTTGCAGGATGGCCGTTAAAGCTGCCTAGAAGACAATCACTGTATAGGGAGTGGAAGAGACCTTCCAAAGCAGAGTTCCGGAATGACCATCCGATGTGTTCATATTGCTGAGCCAGACGATTAAGGCTGGATTCATTTTTAAAACATCTCATAAACTTTAGAGGCTAAGTGCCTGAAACTGCATGAATTCCAGTCACTGGCAAAGCTTCCTCTGACTGCATTGCTACAGAATTAAGCATTAAATCTGGTGTCCTGACTCAGGTTTTACTGTCTCCTTACTCAAACTCCCCGTGGGAATAAAGACACAATAAAAACTGAGCTGGGACTTCTGGATTTGCCTTTGAAATGAGGCTGTAAAGAATGTTCTTGGTTTATGCCATAATATGCTATATAAAGGCAAAAAGAGAGAGTTTTCTGAAAATGACTCATGTCTTGTTGATCAGATAGCGCAAGGAATAAACTTCCCAAATTCTGCATCTTCCAGATACCAAAACCCCATGTTCATGTAAAATATTGTTCTGATGAGATGCTTTTAAAATATGGTTATAGCTATTTTACCAATGTAGGGACATTAAAATGTTTCTGGATGTTTTGGAAACCCTGGGCATGCAGCGTCATTTTACTGTACGTTGTTTCTGGAAAGCAGATTACATTAAACCACCTTGTATTTGATAGACAAAATCATTTTTTAAAAGTTCTCTTTCATGTAATAATTGTGCATCTTGAGAATGCTATTAAATTCATAATGCCCAGCTATACATCCTTCAGAAATTAACCATTGAGTACATCCCATGGCCCCATTTCCAAGTGGGAAACATTCACACACAAATCTCATGCTAAGAAATCAGGATCTGTTCATAATTCTCTGCATACCACACTGAAAACATACACCTAGATGTCAGTGCACATTATAAAGTGTTCCTCCTCCCTGATCGTTAGGCCATGATCTAGCAAACAGAGACACGCAGGGAGATTCTTGCACCTGCGGTGCCCCACAAGGGTCGGCATGCATGGATACAGTTGCAAGATTGGAATCTTTCTCTTCTGGTTGGTGGAACAGCGTTCATGTGCTCCAAATGAAAACAAATCTGTAATGTTTGGAGAGAGCAGGGCAAATGGGGAGTTTTCGTTAAGGATAAAAGCCTGGCTCCATGGAGTTCAATGGCAAAACTCCCATTGATTTCAGTGGAGCCAGGATTTCACCCTCAGTGTTTACTACTTTGAACCCTGATTCCAAGACAAAACCTTTAAAATTCCTGACAGGTCTTTCAGTGTAGCTGTTTCACATATCCATCCAATCTAAATGTTGATATAAGAATTCAGATTTGCTTGCTCGTGGTATATTTTTTAAATTAAAAGCTACTTTCTGTGCTCTGAAATTGTATCAGGACATGTAAATTAATTTATTTTGTGTGGGTGTTTGAGTAGTTTGTTAATTTGCGGCTTCGTGATTTTTCTTCTTTTGTTAATTTTTTGAGGTAACTTGCTTTTTATCGCAGACTAAAAAAATAACCACACTTAAGCCTCCCATATTCATGCTTCTTTCTGAAATGTTTTGCTTTAGTTTTTTGACTGTTGTCTTGCTGTGAACTTTGCAGATTTGTTTATGAGTGTCACGTGCTTCTGCTACATCTGCATTGTCACTGTTATGGTATTTTTCTTTCTGTCTGTTTCTTCCACAGGAGTTTAACAAGTAATCTGCCCAATGTGAATCTACCAAATGTGAATCTCCCTAAAGTACCAAATCTACCAGTTAACATCCCACTAGGCATCCCACAAATGCCTAGCTTTTCTGCACCGTCATGGATGGCTGCTATATATGATTCTGAGTGTGTATTGAGTTCACATTAGATCTCATTTAAATTTAAAGTAATCTTGGCATGGATATGTGTTGTTTGTTTCTGTGCATTATATATAACTTTAAAAGAGTGACAGAGATAGATAATTAGATATTTTACTAAATGAGGCAACCCTTATGCATTTCTGGCATGTACATTAGAAGTTTTTATAAATATTGAGACTTTGTCTTACGCCCGCTGGAAGCTTGAGCAAGTGTCTCACTTCACAAAATAATTGTTGACAGTGGGCTGTAGTCCTGTTGGAGTATAAACTACAGTACTTAAAATATGAGCTGACATGTCTCAAAAGATAGGACGAGCCAACTGCAGTGCAAGTTGACTAATTTCCATGGACCAGATGTAGATCTAAAAGTGAGTTTTTATTTTTCTGCAAGTTCCTTATTGCCTGGAATTCTTGTTCAATATTTCAAACAAAGGGGGGAGACATCTATAAGGATTCTTATGCATGACACGTGGAGCCCAAATGGTAATTGAATTCTGGAACCTCCAACCTCAATACTTAAAAATCATTCCGAATGTCTTGAATCAAACGTACGAAATCAAACAGGGCCCAAGTCACTAGTATGTAATAACCAGTGCTTTGTATCAGGGGGTAGCCATGTTAGTCTGTATCTACAAAAACAACAAGGAGTCTGGTGGCACCTTAAAGACTAACAGATTTATTTGGGCATAAGCTATGATGCTATGCATCCGAAGAAGTGAGGTTTTTACTCACGAAAGCTTATGCCCAAATAAATCTGTTAACCAGTGCTTTGCGTTCCTGTGCCTAACACAAGATTGTTAACCTTGTGACTGTCCTATGATGTAGGACACATACTGAATGAAGAGGCGTGATAGATGCATGTTTTTTCAGTGTAGGTCATGTGACTTCTGTAATTATGGTGGGTCCCCCTTAACAGTCACAGCCATTGAGTGGTGCCAGAGATTGATACCCAAAGGGATAAACAAAGCTGTCACTGCATGTTGGGCCGTCATTCTCATAACATTTGCTAGCATAAAAATTGAGACTTTCTAAGTTCTCACTTCAAATTGCTGAACTTTACTTAGTGTTACATGGCAGAAGGATTATCTCAGCCAGTCAAAGCACAGGGATATTGGACAGTTTCTGAGCTGCCCATGTCCTGTTGTTTTTTGACAGCCATGCAGTGTGCACACCCTGGTGCTTTGACTCAGAAATCCACACCCACCTGCTACGCTAATATGTACCTCACTTCTCACGAACTCCCACCTCCCAACCGCTCTCCTGCTCCTCATAAACCACCTTCCTCCTGAGGAAAATTCAAAGTCGCCAGCACCACCCCAGATGGCCACTTTGTTTTAATAAATGCTACTTGTATTCTCTCCCTACTCCCTCACTCCTTCTGTGACCATCCATTCCCCATCCTTTCTTCCCTCTTAAAAGCTGAAAGGGGAGAAATGCCAGGCCATGCCATGCCAGGCCAGCAAAGCACCAAGGTCCCAATTCATGAAAGGAGCCCACTGCAGGAAGGTTAACTTTAAGCACATGCTTACATGCTTCTCTGAATCATGGCCTCAATCACACGTGTTCGTTTAAGCACATGAGTACCATGGAGGTCAGTAAGGCTACACATGTGCTTAATGTTAAGCATGTGCTTTCAGCAAAGCTAAGGGTTTGTGCTAAGGGTTAGGATCCCCAGAATAACTTGCCAAGCAGCAGCACCTCAGGATACATCTGCACAGCAGCTGGGAAATGTAATTCCCAGCTCGGGTAGACGTACACATGCTAGCTCTGCTCGAGCTAGTACCTACATATAGCCGTGTTTCTGCAGTGCAGGCCGGTGACTCAGTCTAGCCACCCAAGTACCATCCCCCCCATCCCTCTAGGTATGTGCTTTCCCGAAGAGGGAAAGGGAGGCAGTGTTAAAATTGCTGCTAGGTTCGCTTCCCTGAGCTGCATGCTCTACACAGCCTGGTAAACCAATACTCAGAGCAATCTAAATTAAACCTGAAAACAAACAAAGTCTGACAAATCTACAGTGGAGTCACATCACAGGCGCATTTAACGTACGCGATTTTAACTATACGTGCTCGGCAAAACAAAACAAAAAAGAGAAAAATAACAATTTAAATACTGTACCTGTAGTGTGGGTGATTCCGCCCGCCATTCCACTCAATGAGCGTTTGACTATACGCGATTTTCACCTTACGTGCTGACTTCAGAACCTAACCCCCGCGTAAGATGCGACTCCCCTGTATATCATGCTTTGATCTTTTTCTTATACCAGAGCTGCGGATAGGTTGACATACTTATTTGTTTGTTTAACAATTTGTATTTAAGAATAAATTGTCACTTTACCCAAAGACGAAAAGTCTCACAGTAACAATAAACATCGACTTTTTATTTGGCAGGAAGGGTGGCAGAGGCGGGCAATGGTCCAGGTACAGGAAACTACACATAATTTACATCTACACCTGGATTCTACTGAATATGCTCTATACTATTACTAATGAACTGGAGGCAAAGCCAATGACCTTTTATTTTTTAAAAATTGAAATATTAGAGTAATTTACATTTCAAAGAAATACAACTCATATTCATGCTAAGTTGGCTGTATTAAAGGCTAGATTAGGCAGTATCTGTAAATAATACTTGAAAGTTTGTATTACTTTTTTCTCTGTGCATGCTCTGTGATCTTGTTCTTGAAAAGATAAGAATCAAGACATGACAGTAAAGTTGACAGTCATCTTTAATAAAACTAAAGCTTAAGTGTGAAAGGCATTTTGCAAATTTCTATGTGATCAAAGCAATTTTGGTGCTATTGCACTAACAATGAACAGTTCATTTTGGACATAACATAGAATATTACTTTCCTCCCAGGAAAACCTAATAATGAGCTGCTCAAAAGAAGAAAAAAATACAGAGAGTAATTTTTTTGAAAATTCTGAAACCAGATGGGTGTCATAATGTTGTTGTAATAAATACCAATTATTGCATTCATGTGTATTTAATTATTTAAAACATAAATTTGTGCAGTTCCAAAACTGGGATTAGATTAGAAAAAGTTTAATGATTCCTAAGCATAGGTCTCAAACAGAAGAAACTACAAATGTAGATAGGTTGACTCTCGGGTCCATGCTGTTGAAGTTCCACAACATAGTTTTTTGACTAAAGATACCGTTTAAGGAAATGCCTGATTCTCTATCTTTTCAGTGTCCCAGTTCCCTTGTACCCATTCACAGTTCATTATTAAAGACTTGTTTCAGTGTTACCTCTCCCTTAGTGTCAGATACATCTGTTCCTACTTCTGAGCTGATTCGTTCTTTAAATTGTTACCTTTGTTAGCACAAGCCCTCACAGGACCCCTCTAGCATGTTGGGAGTATGGTTTTCACCTGGCAGTAGCCATGTATGCATCGGCTATATTTTCCTCTGTAGCATTAACTCAATGCAGCTGGCATCTGTCACAATAGAAACACCCTTCCTCATCTGTTTCTATAGACGATGTCAGCACAAGTGGTAATGCATGGTGTGTTAAACATCTTATCAATTACTGTGTTAGCATTAGTGGTATGCGAGGAGGGGGTTAAAACTCTTGAAGATCTCTTGGTAATTGTCATGAAAAAGAGAGAGAGAGAAAAAAGGGTTATAGATAAATTTTTCTGCACCAACAAAACACAATCAAGGCCTGTATTTTATTCTGTAAGTGGAGGTTTTAGACACAATTATAGTTGAAAAGAACCAAAGTAGCTATACACAACGAGCCCGAAGCGTCCCATCTGTGCAGAGGAGTGGGTAAGACTATGCACTTTGGAAAGAATTCAGACTTTTGCAACAGACCAAAGACATTGCAAAAAAATAGAAATTAAAAAAAAAAAAAGAAATCTGTTGTCCTGTAGATGCCTTCGCAAGAGGCTGATCTGTGAGATGTGGAGTAGTCAACCTAACCAAAACTCTTTCACATGAGATGTCTAGTGTTCTTAGTTCAATTGACTTACCCTGATTTTTTTCCAGCTGTTCAAGAGATAAGGTGTGTCCTCGCTCACCACTTGTTAGCACTGTCCTTTACCTGGTAAATGTTGGGGAAAAAATTAAAAATATATCATTTGAAGGAAAAAAATGCATGAAACCCTACATTTGAATAACTGCATACATTCATGTACTGTAGTTATTGTCAGTCAAGGGTTTTCTACTCCAAATTTGAGCCTTAATTTTGAATAATCACATCTGTCAATGTGGTTATTAGCTAAGGCTGATTTTTACCATACACACTTTTTCCAGTTAATGTGCGTAATTCATAATTTTGTCTTATCATCTGGTCTGGAAAGATTTGTGAGTTACAACAGCAAGGTAGACTAGGCAAATGTATGGTAAAACTCAAAAGCCTGATGATGGAGATTACCCAGCATTGTTCTGTGTATTAAGCCACTGTATGCCCTCAACTTGTACAAGACTGGTCTCCTCATCAGGTTTCCCATAGCAGGGTCCCGGGGATGACTTCTGTTTTCATTTTACCCTGCCAGCAATGGATCAGGAACCTCTGAAGATCTGTTTTGGAAACTTGATGCCCTGCAGACCTTCATTCGGGATTTACATTGGCCCGAGGAAGAATTTGGAAAGCACCTAGAACAGCGTCTAAAACTTATGGCAAGTGACATGATCGAGTCTTGTGTTAAGAGGTACGTCTGAGCAATGGAACTGGAAGGGCCTCTAGTAGCAGATCACAAGAAATTGTTGGGGGCGGGGGGGTTGCCCTATCTTATTGGAAAAGAGGGGGCCATACTTTACCTTTCAGCTTGACTTCAGCCATTATCTTTTTAAGCCCTAATTTATTTCCAGCCAAGACAGGCTTGGTGGTAGCACACTTTTTATCTCTGCAAATTATTAACCTCTAAAAGGCAACATCTTTTAAATGTAGGCTCTAGACAATGCCTATTTCCAATAAGGCAACAAACCCCCCCACTTACTTCAGCCTTTCTCTGCTGTTGTTTATTGTGCGTCTCCTCTGGGGTCAGGTTTGGGTAACACATTAGGGCGCAGGATTGTTGAATGCTGTAGGAGTAGCCCTGTGTGCTATCTCAGCACCCACATGGGTGACCGACAAAGGAGACTGTGCCATTCAGAGAACCAGTCAGGCTTTCCAGCTGCCTTTGATTGAAAAAAGTCATTACCGCCAATGCCACCTCATTTGATATGCTCCTGCCCAGCCTCTGAAGCACAGCGTACACCTTAAAGGATATGTTAACAGCAGTCATTTTGGTAAGGAAACATCCAGGCTATATTGTCCCGTTACCCACCACTGTTTCTGTTTGGTTGGTTGGTTTCAGAAGGAGGTGATGGGGGTGGGGGGAAAGAAATGAACTTCACATCCTCTGGCCTGAGAAAAGCAAATGGCAAAAGAACAGGTAGAGGCAGATGAAAGCTTCAGCAGGTATGTGCAGGTGGCTCTGTGCCACCGTTGTCTGGCTGCACTGCAAGTGCAAGCATGTGTTGTAATGTTCTCTGATTCCTGGCCGTTTGGATCCACAACCTCCCCACCCGCGAAGTGCAGACATTTGGGCTCAGAAATTGGAATTCAGAACAAATGGCGGTTATAGGGTGGCTTTGCTGCTGTGAAATAAAACACAGCGTACAGATAATTGGATTAAAGGCCAAAGCCCACAGCTTTTATTGAAATACAGTAACTCCCACTACGGGTTATCTGGCAGCCAATGAGCCCTGCAATGCCAGGTAATGTTAAAACTTGAGGAGAGCCATCCTGTCATGGACACCAAAGAGATGCATTTTCCCATGCTACAGCCCCCAAACTATCCCAGCCTCTGGGAGGAACATCATTCCTCTGTGCACAACAAGCCCCTCCCCCACAGCATATGGAAGTAAGGCCCTCCTCCATGTTCTTGGCTGTTCCTCCCACCATTTTCAGCACATCTCTTCTGAACCCTGTGCAGCCATTTTACAGGAGGTGGCTCTGGCAACTTCTACCTTCTCAAGCTGAGCTCGGCCAGGGCCCTTTCAAGTTGCCTGCATGAACAGCAAACACCCCAGTCTTTGTAGCATTGTGCAAGGGAATTTATCCTGATCTGCACCATTGCAGGCTAAGGTGCCAACTTCCCTTTCTGCAACCAAGTGGGACCTGCCTTTGGGCATCAGTGCTTCATTCTTCTGTACCAACCAGATCTCGCTGCAGGAGGTTCTGGGCGAAGGCAGTAGAGAAAACGTCTCGGTGCACTGACAGGCAAAAACTCTTTCCCAGTCCCCGATACTGTGATCAGATTCATCCTGAGCCTGTGAGTGAGGACCAGTCAGAAAAATCTCAAGCTCAGGAAGTCAGTCATCCCCCAGAACTCAACGTACAGCTTCCCTTATATTAACACCATTAAAAGGTCCCTTTTCCTGACCCCAAGGGAGGGCGAGTAGGAAGCACTGCATGCAGCCAGCGAGGGAGTGAGAATGGCCCCTGCTCTCAGCAACAGCTTCTCTTAGCACTTGCCAGCCTGGGGAGAGGCAATTTGCATCCATATGTACAAGGGCCACCCAGCACCAGCCTCTTGCTGCCAATTCCCTGCACCACTGCCACGTCGCAGGAAGGCCAGCAAGGTCAACCTTCCCCACCATTGCAAAACAAACAAGGGAAAGGGGAAAAGAGAGGGAGACGTGAGATGCCCACAGCCGGTATCAGTTTCCCAGCACTGTCCCCCAGTTCACAGCAAGGTCTGTTCCCACAGAGGTACAGATCTTCATTCACATGTAAACCTTTGGGTGTTGATAAAGTCTCCTTCCTGATCATCCAAAAGGCATGTTTAACTGTCAACTTAGTGCAGTCTCTTATTCTGTATTGTCCTGCAGATGCAAACTGCACAATAGGTCATAAAGATTCATTAATTACGTTTCAGAGTAGCAGCCGTGTTAGTCTGTATCCGCAAAAAGAAGAACAGGAGTACTTCTGGCACCTTAGAGACTAACAAATTTATTAGAGCATAAGCTTTCGTGGACTACAGCCCACTTCTTCGGATGCATATAGAATGGAACATATATTGAGGAGATATATATACACACGTTGTGTATATTACGTTGTGCCTTCTTTAAAGGTCTTGTGATACCTGTGGCATTAGAAAAGCTCCTCTTTCTTGCTCTGCCGGTATATTGTCTGATATAAATGCTGAGTGTCTTCAGTTGTTTCCTTTGTCTGACTCTGTTCTCTAAGAGCAAACTGAAAATAGATGCATCAGTCTGAACCTCTAGTTAGCATTATGTAAATTGTAAATATTAGACTAAGGAAATAACTAAGAGGAGTTTAGCGGTTCTACACCACAGAAAAATTGTAGTATTATTCCTGAAGAAGGATAGCTGCTGGCTTGCGGCTCAGTCCTTTTAGCAGTAAAGAGGATTCTTCTTGGGTTGGATTTCTCTTGCTTCTCCATGCTTTTGCTTTGACTTGGCTCACCTACCAGCATGTGTCCATGCAATACAGTGCTCCGCTCTTTATTGGCCATTCAGTGTGCCTCCCGGCTCCATGACCGTGACATTTCTTTTCTCTTTCTTTTAAAATAACTAGCCCTTCCAGTGCTATACCTTGGGGAGTAGCTTGGGGTATTCTGTACCTCAGAGTACTTCTGTTATACACTTTAGTTTCCCTTTTAAATACATTTACTGTAATTAGAGAACAGTTCATGATGATGCTTTAGAAGTGGACCTGATCGTGCTCATCTTTCCAGGCAGACACAAAACCATGGTCCTGCTCATTTAAAGATTCCATCACCTAGCGTCAACATCAGGGTGCTAACCCCTGTGCTCTGGCTAACGTCTGGTAATGGGAATTACATCAGGCTCAGTCCACTGCTGGCGTTAGCCAATGATGCTGTGCTCCCTGCTTATACCAGTTGTAAATTGGGCTCATTCTGTCAACCTGTATTTCCCTAGCAGTTCCAGTTTGACGTGGTATTTTTCTTCACTTCTTCCTCTAACCTACAGCTCACTCTTGCCGTGCACTGTTGAATAACTGCCACGTTTCACAAGTGGCTGCACCTCAGTGTGGGGGAACTGCGCTCCCCTATCAAAACCCGGACTCTGCTATCAAAGCCAAGCTGTACGGCCCATGTGCTCATACAGATCTGATTACAGAATCAGGAGCTTCATTTATAGATATGAGTCTACACTTCCATAGCTCCTTCTGATCCTTAAAGGGCAGAGATATTAGGTGTAATTGATATTATTTGTTTCTAATTCCAGGCTCCTCTATTAATTTGTTGATACAGGCCCACTGATGATATGATTCTGTGTTGTATGTCTAATAATGAATATAATACTCCCTTTACTACAAAGTCCCTCTAACATTTTGCATTCAGAGAATTCAGGAATCAGGGGACATTACTCATTATGCTAAAAGTATTCCCAATATGAAATACTGGAGCCACCTTATGGCCCTGTAAGTATTTTAAATTTATTGTCAACCAATCCTGCAGTCATTAGTCAGACAAAACTCTTATTGAAATAAAAAATGTAACTCCCACTCAGATTTTAACTGAGTAAAATTTAGCAAGGACAACAGAATTTGTGTGTGTGTAATTACACACATGCACTATTTTACAACTGACTTTTTGTAAAGGTATCCTGGTACGTACGTGTTTGTTTTTCAAAGAAACAACATCTAGGAACATTTGTAAAATCAAAGAAAGATTCAGGCAAGCAATAACACTGTGAAAAGATAGAATTGCAATAATCCAGCAGTGGCCTTCCAGTTAAGCAATTAACAGGTTTGTATCATCTGTGTTTAGTATTAGCAGCAAAGAGTCCCTTGGCACCTTATAGACTAACAGACGTATAGGAGCATGAGCTTTCGTGGGTGAATACCCACTTCTTCGGATGCATGTAGTGGAAATTACACTATACGTCTGTTAGTCTATAAGGTACCACAGGACTCTTTGCTGCTTTTACAGATCCAGACTAACACGACTACCCCTTTGATACTTGTGTTTAGTATTGTGTACCAATAGACAGAATTTCCTTTAATTCATCACGTTTACGTTTACTGTTTGATTGCATTTCAACTGTAGGTATAAATTAGCCCAAACAGTCTAAATTATAGGTGTACACTTTTAACACTTCTATTTGTAATCTCATCACACTGCTTACCAAGTATGAGCAAGAGGTGGTTTCTCTGAGACCGTTACACACTTTATCCGTAGCACAGAGTGTTTCTTTTTAAGTTGGAAAATCATTTTTAGTAAAACACATTTGAAATAATTGTATTCTACCATTTATGGTAGCATTAAATTTTCTCTTTCACTAAGCATCGTGTTCCACATATTATTAGCTACAGTATCTTAAACACCAACTGAAATGGTCTTTTCCTACTTTCTTTAATAGAACCAGGATTGCATTTGAAGTAAAGCTGCAAAAAACCAGTCGATCAACAGATTTCCGAGTCCCCCAGTCAATATGCACCATGTTTAATGTTATGGTTGACGCCAAAGCTCAATCAACAAAACTTTGCAGTATGGAAATGGGCCAAGAGGTAAAAAAGCAAATTATTTTTTATATAATTGAGAGAAAACTTAATGAATTTTCCCATCTCCTACTCTGCTAGTTTCAGAAACATTCTAACAATTCGGGATTTTAGCCTTCCGTATAGAGTATGCCAATGAATATTCAGGGTCTCTCCATCAAATAAATCTAATGGATATGGACATTCAGAATTCCAGTCGTTTAGTTGTGATGCTTGGCAAGGATTGTGGTGTGTGTAAGGCACCTTTAAAGCCTGCTGATGCATGATGAATATGTTTATTGAGTCATTAACACCACCTTGGAGCCAGAGGTATCGTTGCCAAAAAGCTGGATATTTACATGTAGTCACCCAATTTATAAGCTCTGACTATTTTCAGTAGACAAACAGGAAGTAAACAAAAGTATTAAACTGTTTGTTTTGTTAAAAAGACAACTTCCTAAAATATATTTGAATTCCACCTGATTTGACTTCCTTGAATATTGGCTGAAATCAGCAAATTTTATGATCCCAATTGTCCAGGTTCTTAATGACTCAAGGTTTCAAAAACAATCCAGTTTTGATCCCTTGCTGATCAATTTTGTTCCTTGTAGAGACATTGTTGCAGCTTGAAAATTCTGTATTTAATATTCAAAGTAGAAAGACACGCTAAATTGGGCTAGATTAAATGCATCATCATGATCATTGTGCTCCAATGGCTTTAAGCCAAGTTATATATTCATATGCCAAGCTCGAATCAATTCAGAACTATTGCTTGGATCTCCTATCTTGTTGCCAATGGGTGTCTCCTAGATAAGATCTTCCACTACAGCTTTACATGTTTGGAATTTATAATAAATCATTGCAAGTTATTTGTTCTTTTTAATTATTTATCTCACTCTGGTCTATAATCCTCTTTAAGGGTCTGACCCAAAGCTCATTCGAGTCAGTGGGAGTTTGACTTTGGGTCAGGCCCATTGTCCTTTATTTTTTTATGTTTTCAGTTGTAACATTTTGTTTGTGACCGTCTCTTTCGGGGGAAGAGGAGTTTCAAGCTTTTGATTGTTGAGTTTCTTTCCTCAGCCACCTATCCAATTTAGGGCACGTACTAAATGGACTCTCGTCAGCCCAAGGCATGACTATTAGGCTGGTTGGTGGAATCACAACATTTCCGCTCCCCGGTTGTTTCTCCATTCTTGCCCTCCATCTCCTCTTTTATCCCCCAGTTCTTCAACCCCACAACAGCCATGTTGTCTGCTTCCTATCAGCCAGGAGGGTGAGCATTGCCATGCTAATACCTTCATCTACTCTTCGATACACTGCAAATCAAGCACTAAACCTTAGTGAATTAAATTAGTGGGAGGAGTGACATTTCTGAGCTCAGGCAGACTCCCACAGTACGTGGGATACTACAGGGCCAGCTAGTTATGTTAATAAAAATGGTCAAGTCTGTTACCCAGTAACACGAGGATCTGATAGCATTGGCTAAATCCAGAAGTAGTGCTGGCGGGAGTTGTGTATATTTCCTCAGACATCCTTCAATACGGCAGTTTCCTTTGAACTATATGTGTCAGTGCATGATGGAGGCCACCAGACCCATTTTGCATTTGGCCTGAGACAAATCTAAGATCTTCAGAGATCAAAGCCCTGCATTCAACCCACTTAGCCACTCAGCTATTCTCTGTTGCGTCAAGAGCAAGCGTAAGTCTCTGGAAATCTTTGTGTGCTTCTTTAAGAAGGTATTTGGTATAGTAGCTTGGAGATAACATAACGATGGTGTGAAACAGCAGTTGCTGTGCTAGGATGTTTTTAACAAATAGCTGCACTAATAGACCTGTAAATCAGATGTAAATTATCAGCGCATACGTTACTGTTTAGGACGGCAGTACTCATACACCCTTCTTGAGCTTTGCTTCTTTTTAATGAATGTTCCTACCCTCACCTTGACCTTCTCTGCTCACACCACTCCATTTTGGGAGCTACCTCCCCTCCTCTTGAAGTTGGGTGAACCTCTGGGTTGAACCATTTATATTTGGAGGATGAAAAGGTTGATAAAGATTAAAATATGAGAAAGAGAGAGTGTGTGTGTGTTTGTAATTGTTGTATCCAGAAATGCTACTCCAGCTATTCCATTCCAATTCTAAGCTAAACTTAGAGACTGTCATCAAATAGACTAAAAGCATGTAACCCCCAAATCAGAAACCAGATATCAATTTGACCTCCTCACACCCTGTTATAACTAACTGTGGGTGAAGTTCACCCCAATGCATATGGCCATATAAGGTTTCTGCATCACTTAAGTCTTTCTTAACTCCTTAAAAATAGGGCTTTAAGTGGTTCAAAGGTTTTGTGCTGAACTCCTGCACAGAGGTGAATTTCTGTCCATGAACAGCTCATGAATAATCTTCAGGTTCAATGTTCACCCAACAACAACTAGCAAACAAGTTCATACAAATTGTGATCTATTGGCAGGTTGTTCATGAACAAAAAAAGGGGTAAAATTGTCAAATTAATTGTTCAAATGTCATAGCTTTCCCAGCTCTAGTCAAAGTAGACACTGCTTGGAAACATACCATCAATTTTTATCACAGTGAAAGCCACACACTAGGACAGACCAACTCTTTTGACTATGTTTTGACCTAACTTTTAGCATTTTTACCTACAAGCCCTTTCTTTTAAAACTATCTTACAGACGTATGAATTGTTTGATGCATTTTAAAAGTATTACTCTATTGAAAACATACCCATCGTCTCATTTCCATGTCCTTATATCTAAAGGCAGCTGTTAAAACATTTGGTAAACATACTTTACCATCTTAAATATTTATTTTTCCTCTGAATTTTTAATACATCAATGGGTATAAATTTATGTATTAAATGTTTCTCAGTTGGTCTAGTATGTTTTTATTTAATACCCAAGGTCAGATGGTCCTAACAGAAATACAGAATACACACAATCTGTTACATGACAAGGCAAAATATGCATCACGTGAAGTCAAGTGGAGTAATTTTAGTATAGGGATTGTGGATTTTATTCATTTATCTAATAGCGAATTGTGATTAACGCTCTCAAAAGTTTTTGTTAAATTGAATGAAAAAGATCAATTATTTAACCTCAAACCAGATGCATTCTCATAAGAAATATCAGGATCTGTAGAGTATGAAACAGACTTCTGCAAAAGAAGCATTTTCTTAGAAATCCTTTTGTGCCAGATCCAGAACACAACCTTTTCCTAGTTGGATAATTATTACAAGGGGAGGGTCAAATGGATGTCCATCTTCAGTTTCAGGATTGAATCTCAAGTAGGGAAAGCCAGTAAGGCAGGAGCTTTGGCAGTAGAGATATGCCAATATAGTACATGCAAAAAATGAAGCAGGTGACATTTCCCAATCATTTTTGCCAGGTTTCTCAGAAATGCTTTGTATTTCAGAAGCCCCAGGCCTGGACTGGACCGCAGCCACTGCATGCTGCATGACCAGCACTAAGCAGCCCTAAATCCAACCTTGCCTGCCATGGGATGAACCCCAGAGGCACTTAGAGCTTCTTATACACCCTTCCCTGCAGCCAGCTTAGGGAGCATGGCCAGGAGAAAGATGACACATGGCCAAAGCCTTTTTGTGCCCCCCAGCTGCCATCATGCCCGCTTGGGGGCACTGGCAATCTTACAGCAGGAGACCAGCCAGGAGTATGGCATCCCCAGAAGCAATGGAGGACAAAGGTGGCTTAAAGCATTCCCCTCTCCTGAGCTGAGCTGGGATGTGCAGAGCTGGTAGGGCCCAGGATTGGGGCTGCTGTGGCCAGGGGGTTGATAAACAGTGTGAGTTTGGCCTAAAAACCTAACGGGCCAAACACCGACCTGGTGTTAAGGTTTGGCTCCAGTGAAATTCCATTTACTTATGCCAGCTCTGAATTTGGCCTCCTATGTTCAGAATGAGGAGCCGTCTCCACCACTGGACAGCAGCTCGGGGAGGCCATGACCCTTCCTGACAGCAGCTGCGATGGATGTTTTGCTGTATAGGGCCCCTCTTTCACCTTCTTGGGCTCCATGTTAGTGCTCTCCATGCACTTCTTATTTGCTTTGTAAACAAGCTTTTAACTGAAAATATATTTGCCAGTACTTTTCACACTGTATTTTTTTACACACACCTATCCATTCTTTTAGTTAAAACCCATGATTTATCCCATGACAATGAACAACAACAAACTTCACCCCCACCTCCAGCAAACAAAACTCCTTCACTAAAATAATATGCTAATGAGGCAAATGAAGCATGTCTTTTGGGCTAATATGCAAGACCTAAAATTGAGTGGATGGAACTTTGATTTAAACTCAGCCCGTCACCATTTACAATGGGCCATGTCTTCAAAAGCCCATGTGCACTTCTGTGCACACCCGGCTTGTCCGTTGGTGAGCTCCAGCACCCACATGACCAGTCCTGCTTTGCATTTTCCCATGTAATCCCACTCTCTGTGCACACTGGGGTTGAGTTAGGTGTGCACATAATCACGCTCATAAATTAGTGCACATGCTTTCCAAAATGGGGCCCAAATTACATAGCTCTGTAAGTGACTATAGCATTTGATACAAGCTTCATTGTTCTGCACTTACTTGGTAGCACGTGAATACTCAAAAGGGTTATGTCCTCCAAGTTGCTTCCATTAGGGTGTGCTGAAGACACTACCTGCAACATGTCTTCCATTCACTGGCATGCCACTCCCCGGCAGCGCTGCCTGCATCCCACCTGTCATCCGCCACCCTGAGTAAATATCTGCAAACATGGTAGTGGCTACTGCAGATACAGAGATCCCGCAGGGAGAAGTTGCAGCAGAAAGGAGAGCGTATGTTCCCGCAGGAAAGAGGTGGAGAAACTTACAAGTCTCCACCCCCCAAAATGAAACGAAGCAGTAATAGTAATTCTGAAGATAACAAACAAGGGAGATGGCACCCCCGCCTCCAGCAAGCCTGGGAAGAACTTCTCAGATTCTGCTTATGTCTCATACTGCCATTGCTTACTGCTGGAAGCACTTCTGCCAGACAGCCGCTCGCCCCTGCTCAGACGAGATCTGATGCACACTGCATTCTGTTTCTCAAACAGCTGTCAAACTTGGGAGATGTCTGGGACAGATCAGTGGGGGCTAGGTCAGACGCCCCCTTGCTAGCCTATAGATGTAGCAGGCCGGGGCAAGCAGACACTACTGCTGACTGTGGCTTTAATTCACCATCCTCTCACCACCTTCCCTTCCCCCAACCTCGAGCACCAACACCCAGTCAGACTCCCTTTCAGCCACCTCCTATTCTGCCTGCACCATCCCGACTCACACCACTGCCGTGTTCCATCAGACCCTCAGCTGCTCTTCCCAGCTTCATCGTCCTCTCGCTGCTTTCTCCACTCCACATGGCACCTGGCCAATCTCTCTCCCAGACGTGGGTGGAGCCTTCCCCACCCATGTGGGAGTTGTCACATTCCACAGGTGCCTTCTGCGCTGTTTCCGGGACTTCCCAACTGATAGAAGATGCAGTCAGCGGGAGGAGAACATGGACAAAACTGTACCTCTCCAGATACATGCTGAATTCCATTCCTATTCACCATCTCTTCAAACAGGTCCTGGCCCGAGGTGGGGGATGCACCCTCTGGATT